CAGTGTATCTTAAATATAGACATCCTCTGATTTCTACCTCACCCCACCCTTGCTTCCCTACCCTCAACATAATGGTATCCCAATTTTTGGTTAATAGTGTTTGCATTATCATAAGCACACATACGCTGTTCACTGGCGCCACCTCCTTTTGTGAAAAACCCGTCATTGCTCCTGCCAACAATGTTTCCCTCTTTTGTCTCATTCATCTTGATTTCCATGTACCGCTTGCTATTTTTTTCCCCTAAACACTCTGCCACCTCAAAAGCCTATCACTGTTTTCCCTGTTCTTGCTTAATCACAACACTTCCTTAGAGAATTTCCTCCAGGAGCCTTCCGCGGTCCCGGGTCTGCAGCAGAGCACACTGCTGGTGCTGGGACCCACTTTCTCTCTTGCCCGTGTGGAGCTGGCCTGCTTCCAGCTGCACGTCTTTCTCCTCCTTGGTCTACACCCTCGCGTTGGTGCAGACCGTCCTCCAGTGGCTGGGGAGACACTGCTGTTGAGGATTGCATGACTGAAAATGTCTTCAGTCTACCTCCACCTTTGATTGATAATTGACTGGTGATAGAATTCTGGCTGGAAAAAAATTTCGTTCAGAAATGTTCATGCATTGTGCCATGATAGTTGTGGTGGTGTCTGGTGCAATTACAACTTCCAATCCCTTGACCTTGCTTGTTTTATTTCTCTTGGGTGATTTTAGGTCTTCTCTTTATACAAATAGGTGCCTTGTGTGGTTCTTTCTTTATTCATGTTGGCACTTGGTGGCCCCTTCCATTATGAAGGTCCATGTCTTTCTGTTCTGAGACACTGTCTTGAGTGATTTATTCTGTAATTTCCTCCAGTTCATTTTTTTCTGTTTGCTCTTTCTGGAGTTTCTTTTAGTTTGATATTGGACTTTCTGGTTTAATCTTCTAATTTTATCCTTCCTTTCTTTATTCCTCTCTCACTCTCATTTTATGGGAGATTATTTTGACTTTATAGTTCAACTTTTTATTAATTTTTTTAATGTGATGGAGTCTTGCTCTGTCGCCCAGACTGGAGTGCAGTGGCACAATCTTGGCTCACTGCAACCTCCTCCTCCAAGATTCAAGTGATTTTCGTGCCTCAGCCTCCAGGTAGCTAAGACTACAGGTGCGCACCACCACACCTGGCTAATTTTTGTATTCTTTTTAGTAGAGGCAGGGTTTCACCATGTTGGCCAGGCTGGTCTCAAACTCCTGACCTCAACTGATCCACCCGCCTTGGCCTCCCAAAATGTCTATTAATTTTAAAATTTTAATTATATCATAATTTAATTTCCAAGATTATTTCCTTTTTAATAGCCATTTGTTCTTGTTTCATAGATACACTGTCTTCTCTCTACAAGGATGTGATCTCTCCCGCACCCCACACACACACTTATATAAATCCCACCTATCCTTTAGTCCTTCAAGATTCTGCTCAAAGTCCACATTTTATGAGGACTTATCCAGTCAGCCTGACTCTTAACTAGACAGTAATTCCATAGCTCCATTATATTCCACACCGTTGTCTCATATGTGAATATGTTAGGCTTGCACTGCCTTCTATTGAAGGAAAAGTGTTACCTCCCCAATGTACCATAATTTTGTCATGAGCAGAGACTGCTCTTGAATACTAAATGTAGGATATCAATATTTAAAATGTAATAGAAGAGTTAGAAGCTAAAGTCAAGATAATCTCCCATAAAATGATAGAGAAAGCGAGAAGGGAAAAAGAAAATTAGAATATCAACCAAAGGGTCCAATATCAAACTAAAAGAAGCATCGGAAAAACTGAAAGAAAAAAAAAAAAAGACTAGATAGAAAAACTGAAGTGGGGGAAATTACAAAAGAAATAATTCATCTTAGTTTAAAAGTTTTTCAAACTAAAAAAACAGTTAAGCTAAACCTTCATATGTGGCTCCATCAGTAGGAACAGAAGGGTTCGAGTGTGCTGGAAGTAACGTGCCACCCCCTCCCGTCTTCAGCCTGCCAGCGGCCTCAGTGAACAGAAGGAACGTCCAGTCAGCTATGTGGAAGTCAGGCAAGAGAGTGTTGACTGTGCTCCATTTGTTTACCAAGAAGAGGGAGGTCTCTGGCAGAAATGGATTCGTGTTCATCATCTGTCTTGGGTTCCCTTGTAATCAAGGGTGTACATGGGCCAGCCAGATCCTGAGATATTGTACTGTATTTTTTGTTTTCGTTTTGTTTGGTTTTTTGATATGGAGTTTCACTCTTTTTGCCCAGGCTGGAATGCAGTGGCGCAATCTCGGCTCACTGCAACCTCCACCTTCTGGGTTCAAGGGATTCTCCTGCCTCAGCCTCCCAAGTAGCTGGGATTACAAACACTTGCCACCATGCCTGGCTAATTTTTGTATTTTTAGTAGATACGGGGTTTCACCATGTTGGCCGGGCTGGTCTCAAACTCCTGACCTCATGTAATCCATCCGCTTTGGCCTCTCAAAGTGCTGGAATTACAGGTCTGAATCACCGTGCCTGGCCAATATTGTGTGGTTTTAAGATCAAAGACTGTGCCCAAATCTCTTAGCACTGAAGATTAGTGCATCGTCTTTGGTCTCAAAATATCATGAGGCTCACCAGCCCTGAGGGCCAATTGTCTTGGTCTAATTAGAACCAAGATCCACCAACCTAAGTTGTGATCTCCTGGCCATGAGGCCTTAAAGGGCCAACAGGACTCTGCTGAGGCCTAGAAGTCTCACCTCTTTCATCTCCAGTATGGGATCCCCACTCCCTCCCCACTTCCAGCAACTTGTGCCACCAACTTGGCTTGATACCAAGCCATGTATGCGCCCTACAACCCTTCTCCATCCCACCTACAATCGTCAGGCTTGGAGGAATCAAGTATGGACTTTCAGAGAGGAAGCAGGTTGTCCAGTTAGCCTCGGATGTCCTTTCCAGAACATGAGCCAGGTGGAACTTAGAAATTCTACTTGCACGATGTTTTTCTCTTAGAAAGGGAAACCTCTAAGTATAGTGAAGATAAGTTGGCACTAGTGGCGGGAAAGAATATTTGTATGTATTTTATTTTGGTCACCTTCAATGGACCAGCATCCCTTTGTAGCCACCATCATCACAAACATAAAGGAAGCCATCATTCATGGTCACTGTCCCTGCGGGAACTGAGACTGTTCTGCAAACAGGAGCTTGGGAAACCCCATAGCAAACATAGCTAGAATACAATATGAAAATTACATGGCAGACAGAAACATCAGCCTCTCATTTAGATGAGGGTTGCAGCTATATAAAGCTAAAATGGAATCAATTCAGCTGAATCAGTTTCGTGATAAATATAGTGACGTGAATGCTTTACCTGGTCCCGGTTTGTTCAGAAGCAACGTAGGACTCTGTGTGCAGAGAAGGTGGCCAAACTGCACCAGCGTCTACAGAATGGTAAGTGTGTTTCTCCTCTCTCAGTGTCCCGGGCTCTCATGCCTTTCTCTAAGGAGTTTTTTTATTCCTTCTATGGACATCCCGTAGTTGAGTCATGAACAAAGGTAGATTTCCTTCTAGATTGATAGGAAAAAATAGTAAAATTAAATTTACAATCTCAAATCCTACCCAGGCCCCCTGGACTCCTGTTTTTAGTTTTCCTCCTTTATCTCTGCGTTTTCACACGAAGCGGCACAGACCAGAGCTGTCCCCTCAACCTAGCACATCGGTTTATTCCAGAGTTGCCTTTTCTTTTGGTCTCGTGGCAGTTCATTTGGGACTGAGTCTATTTCTAGATCGCTAGCAGGCTGACTCCCTTCCTGGCTGGCAGGCCATCCCCAGCTGTGGCAGTGCTGTGCCGTGTCCATGAGCCTGGACAGGGAATTCCATGGAGCAGTGCATCCGCACTCATCCAACTCCCTGCCTGGCTCATCAGGCCCAGCCCAGCAATGATCTTCACTCCCCGACCGTCAAGGAAACAGGCAGCTGTAGACAAGCCCTCTCAGTGGACTCTCCACACCTGAGCCCCCACGGCCTCCTCTACTTCCTTCTTCTGCATGTGGAAGACTGGCTTTATTTTTTTAAGCATTTCTTGAAATATCTGTGATCCTTCCCCCAGACTCTAGAATGGCATCAGAAGACTTTCTTCTACAGATGTTTCCTCATCTCCTTCAAGCTTTGGATCTGCTTAATCTTTCTGTGCTAGTCTCTTGGAGAAGTAGGACTTCCACATGGTGGAATAAGTGCCCAAAAAATGACCTCAGGGAGAAAATAGGTCGAGAGTTAGCACTATTCATTTTATAGCCAAAATGTATGAGATATGCCCAAGAAGTGGCTGCCCCTGCCTGATCACAAAGATAATTCCAGTTCAGGGTAATATTTTTAAAAATGTGTTTCCATGTGTTCTCTTAGAGCAAGCTTGTCCAACCCCTGTGCCCCAGGCTGCATGTGGCCTGGGATGGCTTTGAATGAGGCCCAACACAAATTTGTAAACTTTCTTAAAACATGATGAGATTTTTTTGTGTGATTTCTTTTTTTAGCTCATCAGCTATCGTTGGTATTAGTGTAGTTTATGTGTGGCCCAAGACAATTCTTCTTCTAACATGGCCCCAAAAAGCCAAAAGATTAGACACTCCCGTATCCAACCTCTTCCATTACCACCCATCCCCCACAATCTCCCAAAAATAGGTGTAGCGACCCCCTTCTCTTACTCAGCAAGTGACAAAAGTCCCTCAGTCCATCACCATACATACATAGGCCTTTGGGTCAGATAACACCAACATTACCTTCTGTCTAGAACCATAAATTCCAAACTTAACATGAACAGAAGGAAGAATCTGTGACCTCAGATCACTGTGTAACATTTGTCTCACTGGACTAAAGCAATAGGTTGAAGAGCTTTAATAGAAAGATGTTTATTAAAAATAACAAATTTTAAAGCCCTGCCCCTTCCTATATTTGCGTTAAAAAAAAAAAAAAAACTTGGTAGAGGATATAAACGGTCTGTCTGAACCCAGGTAAATAATAACAATGCCTCTCTTTCCTTGTTTTAGGGAATGCTGTCGGTTTTTTGGAGACAATGGCTTGACTTTGAAGGTGTTTTTTACCAAGGCAGCACCCTTTGGTGTTCTTTGGACACTCACAAACTACCTGTACTTACATGCAATAAAGAAAATAAACACTACGGATGTCTCCGTGTTGTTCTGCTGCAACAAAGCTTTTGTGTTCTTGCTCTCATGGATCGTTCTCAGGGACAGATTCATGGGAGTGAGGGTAAGTTCTTTATTATCTGTCTTCCTCCCTCACTCGGTCATGTCAGCCAAAACCTGCCCATCGGCTTGCTTAGCTCCATGTGCTGGACCATGAGCATAAGCTGCTGACCACTTTCCTTCTGATTTGCAGCAGAAAAGGAGCCCAGCAGAGGGCCCGGTTCTTGGTGTGCCTTGCCAACCTTCTTGCTTGCAAACCATACTAGACAAGCATTCATTAAAGCACCTTTCATTTCAAGCATTTCAACAAGCATTCCCTAAAGTGTGTGCCAGTCGGGGACCCAGCCTGGGAATGGCAATGTGCTCCGCTCTCTGCGTGCTCACCACCCCGTCTCTCGTGGGCGGCTTTCCCGGCTGCAGTGCATGGCATGACCGTGCTCTGCAGCCCAGAGCTCTCTGCTAACACTGCCACTCTCGGGTGAGGATGTGCGTGAAGCCTGAAGCTCCTTCGGCATCCATGCATGCATGCAGTCTTGGCCCTTTGCCTGGGCCGTGTGTACACAGCCAGAGTGAGCCAGACACACTCATGCTAAGCCCCATCTGTGAAGGGCCAGCTTCACTTCCTTCCAACCAATGACAAAGGGGGAGTGAAATTATATCCCTTGAATTACCTCTCATTTTACAATGGAGGACTCACTCATCACATTAAATGCTAGTCAAAGTGAGCTCGTTGGGTTTCATAACACCTGTATGAAATAGGACACATGCAGTATCAAATATCAGCTGAATATGGAGAGATTCCCCCCAATGAAAGAAACAGGTGACGTTTAGCATAGGGCAGAACCCTAGTGATTTCTGACAGGCTCCCTCTGGTGGCCAGGAGCTGCTACTGCCCCTTGCCACAAAACAGTGCCAGAGCATTTGGCCAGGCCCCGGGTTCTCTTGTAGTTAAAGTGTACGGCTTTCCCCTTCAGCCACAAAGCTAACAGCCGGTTTGATGGGCAGTCCCATGAAAGCAAACCCTGCTGGCTGCCGGGCCCTCTACTTCCGTCCTTCCCTCACTGTCCTGGGAACAATGACATCACCCTAAGGGTGCATTCACACCCACCTAAGTTACCCAAACAGCAGTGGGGACATGAGTCAACTGTGAGTTGTATTTTTAGCTTGCAGTAGGGGGAAAATTTGTTTTTGAGGCTTACTGTTAATTTTGGAATAAAAACTCACTCTGTGCCACCAGAAAAGCTTTCAGCAAATAAATGATCTGATGCATCTCTGCAAGAAATGCAGGTCCCTCTCACAGCCACCCAGCAGCCGGCCTGATTTGATGCTGAAAACTTGAATGTCTGGGCCTTCCTGCCACCCACTCATGCCCTTCCTGACTTTATTTTGATGTAAAGAGCCAGGAGAATTTGTGGAAATTTTTGGCGTGACTCAGATGTCCCAAGAAAATTCCAAATGAGACCCTGTTCCTGGGAAGAGACGCTTCAAGGTTAATTCTGCATGTAGCAGAAGAAACCCTTTTTTTTTTTTTTTTTGAGTTTAAGAGAAGGAGGTGTGAAAAACTTGAAAAATACTCCTAAATTCATAGAAAGCAATATAATGCTTCCAGGTTTTTATTGTTATACATGGATAAGACCCCCACCCAAGCCCCACCCAACAAACATCCTCAGAATATGGCACATTCTGGCCATGCTGGCCACTTGATTGGTTTGGTCTGTTGCTGATCACTGTGTACTGAGCAAAGTTTTGTGTCGAAGGACTCTGGTACCAGACTGACACTGAATGAGGGTCCCAGGAGCCAGTGTCGGTGATGGCACTGATAGCATTTTGTAACTTGCAAAGCTCTGTGCAGTTGTGGGTCTCTCTAATAATCACTCTTCCTCTTAGAAGTGCGTCTAAGAGCTTCCTGCCACAGGTTGTGTTGGAGCTCCCTCTTTTCTTTGGGAGTTCAGAGCGCTAGCAAAATCTATGAGGCACTGCCACATGCCAAAGGGACTGAAAGATTCTCCTTGATGAACAGATGGAGATTTAGTTCCAAGATAATATCTAACTGATACATGGGACCACTAAGACTTCACTCAGAGGGCTGGGTAGCATAGCACTGTCCACTGGGTGATTTCCAAGGACCGAAGAGAATTAACATGGTCCTCCATCCTGGAGGGCTGAGCGTATGAGCTTGCAAGTCAAGCAGGCATCAAAACCATGATGAAGGCCCAGCCTTATGTTTGTGGAATTGTCTGCTCAGGAGACTTGTGTTATTAAGGCAGTTACTCAAACCACAAGGGCTGCAGTTCCTGGAAAACATCAGTAGGTGTAGGTCATGTGCACAGATCCAGAAAGAAGCAAACTTATCTTACCATGCTGGGGAGATTCCTCACCACATATAGTACAAGAGGGTGAGAAGCTGTTGCGGTGTCTGTTTGGAAGGAGTTAAGCTGGTCTTGTGTCACCATTTGACTCTCTGCTTAGGTGTGCTTTCTATATGTGCCCTGGCTCTCCACGTCAGGGTTCTAGCTCAGCAATGGAGGTGTCCCAGGCTAGAGTCAAGTGACGAGGTCACAGATCTTGGCTCCACTCTTATAGGCTGTTGAACCTTGAGAAAACTAGTAAGTGTCTCTGAGCCTTTGTTTAATGGGCCGAATATTAGTCCTCATCTTAGAAAACAGTTGTGAGAATAGAATGATGCATGCCTCCCACGTAACACTCAATAAATGGTGTCTTTTCTCAATGTTGTTATTCTTCTTATTCCTTCTCAATTAGACGGGGTTGATGGATCAGCCCAATTCTCTTGTTGGTGGATGAAGATTTAGAGAGGCAGTTTAATGTGGCAAAAGCAAGAGTAGGATGAGAGCAGCAGAGCCCCGGGTGTACCCTGCCCACCAGCTGCGGTCAGACTGAGTGAGACCACCCCAAGCCTCCATGTCAAGGGAAATGGGAGGTGAGATTCGCTGATTGTTCAGGGCTTCTCAGGACCACCCATCACAGTGAGGGCCTTCAAACCAGGAGAGACATAGGAAGGAGCCGGAAGGTGAGCTAAGAAGTCATCCACGGGGTCCTCAAACCCCAGTGGCACATTCCTGGGGATCATGGACCTTTTTCCAAGATCAGTTCCCATCTCAGATTCCAGCTGATGTTTCCAATAATCAAAACGTTGGCCGTGTTTCAAAAGGGGTGACCCATCCCCAAACAGTACCTGTGTGTCTGGCCCAGACTCCCCTCTGCACGGGGGGCTGCCCTCTGCCACCTGAGCCAAGCATGGCAGAAGACACAGAGAACAGGCAGTGGTGGAGCCCACAGCCCAGGCCACCGTCTACTCTCGCACACAGAAGGAGTGGACTAGAGGATCCCTCCCTTCCCTCCAAACTCCAGTGTTACTTGAGTCAATGAGAGCAGTCCAGGAGCTGTGAGGGAAAGAACTGGGGGAAGGATGTTTAAAAATCAGCCCATTTTCCTATGTGTAAAATTGACCCAAGCTGTGCAAATATAAAAAGCTTCCAAATGGGGTTATGTTGGGCAGAGAACATGCAGCCTGCCATGTTTTGTTGGGGTTTTTGTTGTTTTTTTGTTTTTTTGCGAGACGGGGTCTCACTATGTTGCCCAGACTGCAGTGGTGCTGTCCCAACTCATTGAAGCCTCAACCTCCTGGGCTCAAGTGACCCTTTCACCTCAGCCTCCTGAGTGGCTGGTACCACAGGTGCACACCACCACACCCAGCTAATTTTTTGCAGGGACGGGGTCTCACTATGTTGCCCAGTCTCAAAATCCTGGGCCCAAGCAATCTGCCCACCTCAGCCTCCCAAAGCACTGGGATTACAGGTATAAACCACTGCACCAGGCCTTGCCACATTTTAGCAAGACCTAGCGGGAGGAGCCCTCGTCTGAACGGTGACTAGACTTCACCTAGGGCGACATCAACCCACCTCTCTCCTCTTTATGGCTCAAGGGTTTCTTCGCCTTCCCCTTCCCTCCCCACAGGGGAGCAGGAGCAGAACCATCCTGGAGATGAGTGACGTGTCAGTGACTCGGGTCTAGGTGTGTGGGACTCAGATCCGGGGCGCTGGCAGCCGGGCAGGTTATGACAGTGGGTCACCACGCTGGGTGAGGACATGAAGACGCCAAGCAGCAGCCCCCAGCCTGTGTTCCTTCCTCGCCTCCAGCTAGTTGTCCCCCATGCAAAGCAGAGGTGGTGGCTCTTACCCATCTTGGGCTTGGGCCGCTGTGACCCATCAGTCTTTGTTTTAGAATTGTTCTGTGAGGAGCACTGAGGATCAGGGAAAGCATAAGGAAGGAGAGGCATTGGGGGGGGTGAGGGAAGCTCCGTTGTCATGATCCCACACCCACCCTCAGCATCCCCCCAGGGGCCACAGCAGGGAGAAGGGGTGCGTGGAGCTCAGGGAACCATGGGCCAGACTTGACTGGCCTTCCTAGAGAGTTTGTTTTAGTGCAGGAAATGGGCAGAAAAATATTGTCACATGAAAACCAAGAAACTCAGACATGTCAGGTTGTCAACTGTAACATATGCACATACTTTTCAAAAGATAGAACTGGAAATTTCACAGGAATTCCAGGCATCAGGAAGGACCCTTGGGCTCTGCTCCCAAAGGCACAGAGCATGTTCCAACCCTGCTGTGCTCCGCGGGGTATAGAGAGTGAGGTAGGAGCCCCAGTTCACATCCCAGCACGTGGGTCCGGTCCTGGCAGGGCTGCTGATGTCCAGAGAGTGGGAGCCCCACAGTCAGGGGTGTCAACACTATTCCTTGTGGGTGGGACCCCCAGGAGAAGGCCAGGAGGTGGAGGAGGAGCTCAGAGTCCCCCGCCCAGCCTGTCGGGATGAACTGATGGGGTGGCACAGGCTCCTCTGATGTTTATCTCCTCGACGACCAAAAGGTAAATGGCCAACCATGCTCTCATTTCCTACCCCCTTGTCCCTTCCCCCAGCTTAGCCACACAGTGTAGCCCAGGCAGAAGCTTTTAGCTGTTTATTATTTAATCAATAGAGAAGAGAGGAAGAGGTTGGAAATCTGCCCTGCAAGTCTTCAGAAAAAAATAACCCCTCACTGTCCTTCACTTCCTCCAACTTCAGCCGTAAGCCTGGAAAGGCTCAATAAAAGGTAGCTCTAGGCCGGGCGCGGTGGCTCTCACCTATAATCCCAGCACTTTGGAAGGCTAAGGTGGTGGATCACCTGAGGTCAGGAGTTCGAGACCAGCCTGGCCAACATGGTGAAACCCCATCTGCACAAAAATACAAATATTAGCTGGGCATGGTGGCATGTGCCTTTAATCCTAGCTACTCGAGAGGCTGAGGCAGGAGAATTGTTTGAACCCCAGAGGCAGAGGTTGCAGTGAGCTGGGATCGCACCATTGCACTCTAGCCTAGGCAACAGAGTGAAACTCTGTCTCAGATTTTAAAAAAGTATCTCTAAAGGGGAGATGCACCAAGCATCTGGAATTGGGCCATTTTCTTCTCTCCATTCCTTCCGTGTGTCTTTTCATGGGGAGTCCTCCGACGCCTGGCCGGGTGGGCGTGTTCCTGGCAGCAGCCTTCCATTACGTGTGTCCTCTGGAGCAGAAACCAGCCCTTTCCCCCCTGCTTCCTCACTTCTCCCTTTTTAAATTTCTTGTGGGAAAAATCCCCTTATGGTCTTGCTATCTGCATTTCTCTTACTGAACATTTCTACCCAGTACATGTAACATTTGAATATGAAACATAGGAATGTATGTGATGCAGAAGGCTGTGGCTGACTGCAAGTGAATTCCTGTACCAGAAAGAACACTCAGACAGATTGGGCCAGGTAGTCCTCTCATACCCGAGAAACACCTGCTCTCTCGATGCCTCTGTGTTGGGGGTGGATACAGCATTGTATAGAAACATTGCATGAGTTATACGCTAAGAGATGTATGTAACTCAGACATACTCTGTGAGATTAAGCCACATTATGTTTTGCTAACCTAAACATCTTATGTTTAAACTGCCAAGGCAACTTCAATTCAAATCTAACAGTAGGTCGGCGGTACTCCCTAGGTGAATCATACGTTCCTGTTTATATATGTAAGCACCAGCTTTACAATCAGGCAAACCTGAAATCTGTCTCTGCTCTTCCACATACCAGCTGTGTGGCTTTGGGCAAGTTACTTAACCTCTGTGAGTCTAGGTTTTCATGTCTACAAAATGAGGTGAATGACCATATCTACTGTGAGGGTAAAATGAGAAAATACATAGAAACATGTATCCTACGATCACGCAGTTGACCTTAGCTATCTGATATCATTTTAGATAACTGAAGTTGATTTTGAATGATTCACAAGAGGGATAAAATTCTCAGTAAATCCAGGAGTGGAAACTTCTCCACACATGTTCTACTGACAGCAACCCCCTCTCCACCTCCCACCCGGTGACATTCCTGCAGCCTCATGGCTACCTCGGATCAGTCCCTTGGATTGATTCTGTCTGCCGGTGCATTTTCTCCTTTGAGGAGTATTGTCCCAGATGTTTTAGCTTCTATTCACTCCGGCGATTTCACTTTGCACAAGAGTAATGTGTCCATCTCCGTGAAGCCTCCGTCCCATCTGAGCAGTCAGTATCAGGACAATAACAGGACTGAGGGGAGCCTTGGTAGGGACGGTGGAGGGGCTATGGCCACGTGTGAAAGGAACTGCACCTCCTAGGTTAGGTCACTGTTTGTAGCCTTGATTGGCAGGTAACATTCTGTCAGGCCTCACTGCTGGGGTAGAAAACAGGACAAGATGTGCTGTCCTCATGGTGGCTTTTCTGTTGAGACATGAAACACATAAAAGCAAGGTAACAGGGGGGGACTTTCAGAAGGCTGGGAGGTAATGCAGGTCATTTCCAGGGGCTGCCCAGGGACTCTCCACCAGGCCTTGTCACGACCAGATAACCTGCCACTGCAACTATGACCACCTCCTTCTCAGACTCCCAAGAATCCCAGTGACTGGCCAACCCCATGCCACCCATTCCTGGCTGACAGCGGTCCCGGGTCTTTGGTCAAGCCAAGCTTTGCTAAGTGCCCTCTCTAAGCAGCAACGACATTTTAGACAGGAGTCAGCCTGTGCCTGTTGCTCCCCCAAGGAAGAAGAAACAGGAGATGCCACTTTCCCCTCACGTGGCTGAACCCCACGCACATTTGGCGCTCGCGTGGTCCGTCTGGCTCCATCCCAACTTCCCTGACTAGCGTTTTCTTCCATCCGTCCAGATTGTGGCCGCCATCCTCGCCATCGCTGGCATTGTGATGATGACCTACGCTGATGGCTTCCACAGCCACTCCGTCATCGGCATCGCGCTTGTGGTGGCCTCAGCATCCATGTCTGCCCTCTACAAGGTACGCACGGGGAGTGAACTTTCTCGGCTGGCTTGGCTCTCCTCAGCCAGCACAGCCGGATCTAGATGCTTGGTCCTTTTCTTTTCAAGACCTTCTGATTCTGCTGATGCTCATGCTTGAAGATGGGCAGGTCTAGATAGCTGAAGTCAACTGTGCAACAGGCAGAGACTTCAGCCAAGGGCAAGGGGGAGGTGTGCCACTGCTCTTGGTTTTGGCTCTCTGGGCCTTTCTCTCTGTAGCCACACGGTTGCAGCATCTGGGATAAAATGAGTGGTGCCCATCAGCAGAGTCAGATTCCTGTCTTCATTATTGGCAGCGAACAAGCTCAGTGTTTGCTCAGGTCGTTTGCCACCCTGTAAGGCGGGAAGGCTTGAATGTCTGGCGCAGCTTTGTCACGTAAATCTTTGCCCACACCGTTTCTGCAGCCACCACTGTTCACTATGAATCCATATGCATTTCAAGTACTGGCTGGAAGGCTAAATAAATAAAAGTGTAACAGCAGTAATGTTGGGATTATGAAACATTTTGATGAAATGTTGGGAACCATTGGAAAGCACTTCCCAACTTCAGGTCTGGAGGAAACAAATTTTTATTCCCACACTCAAGTCCCTTCCTCTGTTCACCCCGCGCCTGATCAAGCCTCCTGGCTGCTCTTCCCCCTCACTTCCCCTCTCTTCTCTCTTCCTCCGAAGACCCAGAGTAGAGAATGCAAGTATTTTCAGGACTCCAAGCTGGAGAACTGACCAAGAACATTCAACGAGAAATGAGATTTTAGCTTGGAGACTTGTCATCCTTTGTGGATCCAGACAGTAGGATATAATTAAGTACTGAAGAGAGTCATAAGAAAAGACATTTTTTCCCCAGCTTTGTGAGTACCATGTGTTCTGGTTTTGGGAAAGTGAAATAACTCAGCCTTATCCTTCATCATCTCCCTGCCCTCACCTCCCACAGAGGAAGACACACACGTCCTTGTCTTTCTCTGAACACCTCTCACTGAGGAGATGTGATAACCTAGCACCACTCAGAGACTCTAGCAACTGTGCAAATGTAGAAAATATTAGAAGGCTACATACACTCCTCTAGACTCAAATAGCTGTGGCCTAATGAGGAGCAAAAAAACACGGAGAAACACAATCCCCAATGAACACAGTATTCTGATTCAGATTCCCGTCTCCCACTCCTCTACCACCTGCAACTTGTCCAAGGGGACTCCTAGATGAGAGGCCGAAAGCCATTATTTCCCCTTCCATACTTCCTGCACATTTGCCACGAAATACATGAATGAGTTGGGAAATGGCTGAAGAAGGAGAAAGCAGGAAAAGTAAGAGGAACCACAATGCAGAGAGTCAAATTAGACCACAGCTCGCTCAGCACAGGAGCTGCCCTGGGACCATCTGAGTCTCTCAGTTCAGCTCCGGGCTGCTCCCATCACGTTCGCCCTCTCCTCCCGGCCTTCCAAGCACCTGAAATCATGTACAAACAAGAACAGGTGCAAAAAACCAAAGTTTGGTGCATTCCACTAAAACCCATGCCATTTCTGGAATGTACATGGGGGGATGGAGCAGAGATGAGCAAAATCCCTCCACCCTTGATTTACAGAAAATACCTTTGCAGCCAGAGCGCTCTTTCTTGGGAGCAATGGTGTTTGACCTGCTTACGCAGAGTTGAGGATCACTCCTAGGGGTCTCTGAGAGGATGTATAATCATGGCAGATGTTTTTGAATGATGTGGTGTCAGGAACACAACACAGACAAATCAAACCTAGAATGAAAACCCATGACTGCTAACGATCCTTTCTGGATAGCCGAAGAGCAGCTCTCTGCTGCCGTGTCACTGAGATTCGAATATGTGTGCAGCTGAACAGAGGTCAAATCCCATGGAATTCACCGGAATCTGGTTTCCATCCGGCAGTGCAACCCCAGCGTTGTGGAGTGAACTCTGCTTCACTTACATCACGCTGGGGTCCGAGGTGAGCCTTCACCTCATCCTCCTCTGCTTTCCCCTGCAGGTTCTGTTCAAGCTCCTCCTGGGCAGTGCTAAGTTCGGAGAAGCCGCCTTATTTTTGTCCATCTTGGGTGTGTTTAACATCCTCTTCATCACCTGCATTCCTATCATCCTCTACTTTACCAAAGTGGAATACTGGAGCTCTTTTGATGACATTCCATGGGGAAACCTTTGTGGATTTTCAGTTCTCTTATTGAGTAAGTGGTGACCGCCCTGTCCAGAATCCCCAGAAAGCAATCACCAACACAGGACCCTTAGCAAACATGTTCCCTGAAGGAGGAACAGTGCTCATGGCTATTCTTTACTTCTCACTGGTTTTCACGATCTTTCTGTTTCACAAAGCAGTCTTTGAAATGATGACATTGGATTCGAATTCCAGAACCAGAGTCAATGTAGTAGCCAGAGTGGTCACGGCTGCTCTGAACAGTGAACGAGTAGCCCAGTGTGTGGCATGTTACCTACTAAGCACAGTGAAGAGTTGGTAAATTAATACCTGCAGAGCTCCCAGAGCACTGCCTGCCAAGTGTCACTGTTCAATAAATCTATCAATTACCACTATTATTAATGTCATCATCACTGTCTCCATTACTTGATATAAGTCTAGAACTAAGCAGAAATGCAACCAAGGAGGTGACTTATCTAGTTTCCATCCAAAAACATATCCCAGCCAGGCACAGTGGCTCATGACTGTAATCCCAGCAGTTTGGGAGGCCGAGGCGGGAAGATCACTTGAGCCCAGGAATTCTAGACCAGCCTGGGAAACATGGTGAGACCTCATCTCCAATAAACATTTAAAAATTAGCCAGGTGTAGTAGGGTGCACCTGTAGCCCCAGCTACTCAGGAGACTGAGGTGAGGGGATCACTTGAGCAGAAGGGCTGAGGCTGCAGTGAGCTATGATTGCACCACTGTGCACTGCACTCCAGCCTGGGTGACAGTACAAGAGCCTGCCTAAACGAACAAAAAAAAAAAAAAACCCAGAGCTCTTGTTCATGCAGTTATCCCAGAAGCAGTGTCAGATGCAGAGAAAAGCAGAGCTGGTAAGATAGTCCCAGTCGCCTTTCAGTGGTTACCATTTTCAAACTTATTCCCCGTCTTCAAAACCCAGGGAACAGAGGGGCTGAGTACTCGGAGTGTCTGCTCCTGATACCAAGCCCTGGAGCCCCCAGAGGAACTCTGAGCTCACTGAATAAGAGCAAAGGGTCATTGTAACTCCTATGACTCCGGCTTCATTAGGAAAACCCGGGTCAGACAGGCCAGCAGGGAGGTAAAGTACAGAGCAGTCGTGAATAACATCCGTTGTTTACATTCTTTATTTCAGCATTCAATATTGTATTAAATTTTGGAATTGCTGTCACATATCCCACTCTGATGTCTCTTGGAATCGTCCTCAGTGTACCTGTGAACGCAGGTAAACCTATTTGGCTTTCTACATCTGCACATAAGCACACACACTCAGTCACTTACACACAAACACACACTCATGCATACATACATACACATATGCACACTCATGCATAATACACACATACATATACACACACTTATGCATACATACACACATACATGCATACATACACACATACATATACACATTCATGCATACATACACACACATACACTCATGTATAAATATGCACATATACACAAACACTCATGCATATATACATACACACTCATGCATACATAAACACACACTCATGCATACATACACACATACACACTCATGCATACATACACATACACACACTCATGTATACATACACACATACAAACACTCATGCATACATACACACACATATACTCATGCATACATAAACACACATGCATACATACACACACTCGCATACATACACACACATATACACACTTATGCATACATACACACAAATATACTCATGCATACATAAACACACACACTCATGCATACATACACACATACACACACTCACATATACACACTCATGCATACATACACACACACACTCATGCATACATACACACATACACACACTCACATATACACACTCATGCATACATACACACATACACACACTCATGCATACATACACACATACACACACTCATGCATACATACACACACATACATATACACACACATGCATACACACACATATACACACACTCATGCATACATGCACTCACACATATGCACACATACTCTCACATACATACATATATTCTTGGTGTGCCTCCTATAGAATGTGTGTTTAATCATCTGCAAAAAAAAGCATTTAGGTGAAATGTTGATATTAATTATATATGCAATATTTTCTCCATAATGGGCTGGTTTTCGAAGGCCAGAAAGTCTAAAGGCATCTCAATTCTGACCAGTATGGGGAGCAGAGATGAATGTCATCAGTATTAAGAAATGTAGGAAATTATGTGGCAGGAAAAAAAACATTAACTTTTGCAGGTAACTTTCTGGGGGAGAAAATTTGCTCAAGCGTGATGTAGAAGCATGCCGACAAGTTGAAGAAGCATGAAGGTGATCTTCCCCTACCTCCACGAAGATGGGGAGAACGCCCTTTCCCCAGGAACTGGGGACGGTCCTTTGTTTTCCCCTGGGCAAAACAGACAGTTGACAGCTCTTTCAGATGCTTGTCTTCACCTGCCCCTTGCTTCCTTTCTTTTCCTGGCTCACACAGATAGAAATTTTGGATTTTCTTCCTAGAACCTCCTGGCCTCACACCTGGCCTCCCTAGGCATCCTTCTCTCAGCCAGAAAAGGGCTGTGAATCTGTCCTCTCCAGAACACTCACTCCTTTCTCCCTGGCACAGCTTCCTCCAAAGCCATCTCCCAAATCCTGCTGCTTCCAGGCCATTAAAAGATCACCCCGCCCCAAGGGAACAGCAGACCCTTGTCCTGCCTTACCCTGTTCCGTGTGGTGGTGAATATGCCTGCCGGCACCCCAATTTCCCAAACCTTTCCCCATGACTTGGTTTCCCACCGCTCCCATTCCATAGGCGCTGGACCTCTCTGCCCCACCATGGCCTGGACTCCTCTGGTAGGACTGCCTCACAGCAGCAGCAGTGTACCAGGCTTGGTGAGGCATCAGGAGACGGGGCTCGGGCCCAGCACCACCAAAGCCTATCTGGAGGTCTGTGGTCCCAACTCATCTGCTCTCTGAGCCTTAGCTTGTCTCCCCTGCAAGTGAAACGTCATACCTGCCCTTGCTACTTCAGTTGATATGACAACCAGATGCAATAATTGATAAGACAGCAGTTCAAAATGCAGAAAGCACCTGAGCTCCTGGACAGCTGGTAAAAAAGGAAAATGGTCCAGACACTGCAGGCTTCTGAAAAGTCACTTGTCACCACACTCCCCCTACATTGTTTGCATCTTTAATTTGTAGTCACGCCGTGTTCCTGTCTCCAGAAGGCATGTTCCAGTTGTCTTATATAGAAACTCACTTTGAGCATAGAACAGAGCCAGGTGTTTGAGAGATTAATTAGAATCACTTTTCGTTACTTACCTGCAATGTAAAAGGTTTAACGATGAGTCGAAGGAACGAATCCCAGGCCGCTCTTGGTTGGAGGAGAAAAGCCGAGGAACATGCTGCATAGCTCACTTGTCAGAGCAGAGTCATTGCCTGGCTTTTGGATTCTCCCTCACATCTGCTCATGGGACTGGCTGGTTGGCTGTCCTTATCTGCTAAATTAACAGAATGTTTTACCAGTATTAAAAATTAAAATACAGGCCGGGCACGGGGGCTTACGCCTGTAATCCCAGCATTTTGAGAGGCCATGGTGGGAGGATCGCTTGAGCCCAGGAGTTCTAGACCAGCCTGAGCAACATACAAAACCCTGTCTCTACAAAAAAAAAAAAAAAAAAAAAAATTAGCCAGGTATGATGGTGCACGCTTGTAGTCCCAGCTACTCAAGAGGCTGGATGGGAGGATCGCTTGAGCCCGGGAGGTGACAGTTGCAGTGAGCCATGGTCACACCACTGCACTCCAGCTTGAATGACACGGTGAGACCCTGCCTCAAAAATAAATAATACAGTTAATGCGGCCGGGCGCGGTGGCTCACACCTGTAATCCCAGCACTTTGGGAGGCCAAGGCGGGTGGATCACGAGGTCAAGAGATCAAGACCATCCTGGTCAACATGGTAAAACCCTGTCTCTACTAAAAATACAAAAAATTAGCTGGGCACGGTGGTGCGTGCCTGTAATCCCAGCTACTCAGGAGGCTGAGGCAGGAGAATTGCCTGAACCCAGGAGGCGGAGGTTGCAGTGAGCTGAGATCACACCATTGCACTCCAGCCTGGGTAACAAGAGCGAAACTCCGTCTCAAAAATAAATAAACAAATAATACAGTTGACCCTTGAACAATGTAGAGATTGGGGGCCCCAACCCCTGAATAGTTGAAAATCCACAGATAACTTTTAGTTCCCCAAAAACTTAACTACTAATGGAGTACTGCTGACCGGAAGCCTTCCTGGTAAAAAACAGCTGATTCACATATATGAAGTGTGTTATTTGTATTGTGTACGGTACTCTTACAATAAAGCTAAAGAAAATAAAACGTTATCAAGAAAATCATAAGAAAGAGAAAATATATTTGCTACTCTTTGAGTGGAAGTGGGCCATCATAAAGGTCTTCATCCTCACTGTCGTGTTGACGCTGACTAGGCTGAGGAACAGGAAGAGGAAAGGTCGGTCTTGCTGTCTCAGTGTGGCAGAGCCAGAAGAAAATCCACATATAAGTGGATCCGTACAGTTCAAACCCATGTCGTTCAAGGGTCGTGTGTGTGTGTGTGTGTGTGTGTGTGTGATCTATCTATCTATCATTTATCTATCTATCTATCTATCTATCATCTATCTATCTATCTCCTCAGTTGCCCTTCATTCACTTTTCTTAATCACATAAATCAATGGTTGAACTACCAAGTCAGTTTTGGGAGGTAACATATAAGTGCAAGGCCTCATACCAGAGAGGTTTTATAAAGTCAAGGGCGATTTACTAGAGGTAACCCCAGCCCACCTGGAACAAAATCATACTGAGGAAGATCCTGTGGTCCAGGGAAGACCACAACACTGCCAGGCAGAGGGGGATGCCCCCAGGCCCTGCCCACTCTCCGGGCCGTGCACCGAGCCCTGCAGCTGAGTAACCCCCATGCTCTGTCTCCCACAGTGGTTGATCACTACACTAGTCAGATAGTCTTCAATGGGGTCCGAGTCATCGCCATCATCATCATCGGCCTGGGTTTCCTCCTCCTGCTCCTGCCAGAGGAGTGGGATGTCTGGTTGATCAAGCTGCTCACCCGCCTCAAAGTGAGGAAGAAGGAGGAGCCTGCAGAGGGCGGTGCCGACCTGAGCTCAGGACCTCAGAGCAAGAACAGAAGAGCCCGCCCTTCCTTTGCCCGCTAACACCACTCCTCTAGAACTCGGTGGTATTGACTGGGAGGTCTATTCCTGCCGGGAGGAACCTCAGTTGGGTAAGGTGTACATACCTGTACAGTTTTGGTCATCTGCGGTAAGTTCTATGGTATTTATTGGCATGTCCAATTTGCTTGCACTTTTCCACATCAGACCTTCCACTTAAGGGTACCAATTCAATACAAAAGAGAAAAGAAGAACCTCTCAGTGCTTTTCCAGTGAATGTAAAGTGGGTTTAAAAGATCCCTGCATAGATCGTTTTGGATGGCTGACGTTCTTGATAAGACAGGACAAGTGTTTTGAATCTTAGTAACCGAACATGGCATTGTACACTGTGATTATTTTTCAGCTATGGTAGCTCATATTTTGTTTTATACCAGAGCTGTACTCTTAATTTTAAGGAATTTCAATGAACCAAAAGATAACTGTCAATTTATTTGGATGGATGGATGGATGGATGGATGGATGGATGGATGATGGATGGAAGGATGGATGGATGGATAGATGGATGATGGATGGATGGATACATGGATGGATGATGGATGGAAGGATGGATGGATGGATAGATGGATGATGGATGGATGGATACATGGATGGATGGATGGATGGATGGATGATTGGATGGATGGATGCATGGGTGGATGGATGGATGAAGGATGGATGGATGGATGGTGGATGGATGGATGGATGGATGGATGGACAGATGATGGATGGAAGCGTGTCTGGGATGTGAAGAGGTGAGGCAGAAATGGATGATGAACAACAAAAGCTGTCAGAGGACAGGTCTGTGCCAGGTACCAGGAAGGACAAGATAAGTCCAGCCCCAGCTGGCCTGCTCTCACGAGTCTGTGTAAGATCATGCAAGAGAAATCACAGTGCCTTCTACAGAATTTTCGTCTTTACCTATGTGAAGCGAGGTGACATAACACGTCACTGGCGCCGTCTTATAATTTAGATGTAAAAATCTTTAGAAACAAATAAAACTATATATATGTGTGTGTGTGTCTGTGTACAAAGATGACAGAGCTGATGGCCAGTGTATAGAGTGTGGCCCGCGGTGTACAATACCCATATAAGGTACACTGTGCAGGGGGGGGATTGCTGGTTGCTTTTACTTCCTGACCAAGACTGAAAAATTATTTACTGAAATCTGTAAACCTTTTTATGAAACTTTTAAGCACCAGGCTGTTTACTTACACAATTTAGGTCTGCCAGAAAATTCTATCTGTGATAGATCTGTAAAGAGGGTCAGGGGTTAGAGTTTACTATTTTTGAAGTTTACATTGTTACATATGAAATGGAAACATTATTTTGAAATGTTGTCATAACCCAATGGTGCATTCTGTAACCATGGAGTCTTTTGTTTCCTGGGGGAAAGGGGCATTCATGACCTGAACTTTTTAGCAAATTATTATTCTCAGTTTCCATTACCTGTTTGGCCAAACAGATTAATAAAATATTTGAAAAAGAAGCGTTCAGTGCTGTCTTGGTGGCCGCCCTGTTACTTTCCCACTGCGACCGTCCTGAAGCAGCCCTCCCCACGTTCTGGCTTTTTTTCAACTGCACTTGCCCCCAAGAACCTTCCAGGTAGGTAAGCCAGCCCATCTGTCTCAAGGGAGGGAGACTGTAATATCAGTAGAACTGACTTGCAAAAGTGAAACGCAGAAGAATCCCCAAAGCCTCAAAGAAGCTCTGAGTCCTGGGGTAGCCTCTTCCTCCACCCTGTTTCCCTCCCTCTCCCTCCAGGCACCTGCCCCTGTCCCCCTCCCCACGCCCCCCCCCCCACCCTGCTCAGCCCTGCACGTGACTTCCTTCTCCCTTTCCCTTCTGAAGGAATTCCACAGCTCAGTTAACACTGGTCCCTGGGAGCCGCGCAGAGGTGGGAGCCCCATCCATAAATCTACCCAGTCTTCCAGCTCAGCCTCCATAGCCACCTGCCTGCCTGGGCATCCTAAGCTAACGCTGGCTTTTTGGATAGTTTGATTTATCCACTTCAGTAACATAATGTAGCTATTCCGAGCAGCTGCTATGTCAGGGGCTATGAGATCCAGTGGGTCTCATTCTAGGGCTACAGAGGGCCAGGGACTATAGGAAGCAGTGTGAGCCAACAGGAAACGAGAGCCTTTTTAGGACACCTCATCCCATGACCCTCACCTAGGGTACCACACGTACCACTTGATGCATGGGCTCTAAACCTGAAGAACCTCGTTATCCACAGCAGAGAGCTCCCTACCCAGTGTGTCCAAGCCTGTCTGGGAGGGGACAGCTGAGCAGCAGGATGCTGGGCCAGTCGCCTCCATCACCCTTTGAGGCTCCAAATCCCAGGGAGACACACAGATATTTCCTTTGTAAGCCAGAACATGAAAATGTGGGAAAGTTCTGCCTTAGGGTAGATTTATCTTATTCTCCTGTTGGGCAAAAACGACCATGAAAACCCAAAAGAACTGAGACTATGGACTCAAAGGGGTATGTGCACATCCACATTCGTGGGAACAGTCACAATAGCCAAAAGGTGGAAGCGACCCAAGTGCCCACTGGCAGATGAATGGATAAAGAAAATGTGGCATAGCCATACAGTGCAATGTCATTCCACTTTAAAAAGAAAGCAAATCTGGGCCAGATGTAGTGGCTCACATCCGTAATCCCAGCACTTTGGGAGGTGAAGGCAGGAGGGTCCCTTGAAGCCAAGAGTTGAAGACCAGCATGGGCAACATAATGACACCCTGTCTCTTCAAAAATGAAAACGCAAAAATTAGCTGGGCATGGTGGTGCATGCCTGCTTACTTGGGAGGCTGAGGCAGGAGGCCTCTTTGATCCCAAGCATTTAAGGTTGCAATGAGCTATGGTCACACCACTGCACTCCAGCCTGGGCAGCAAACCAAGACCCTCAAAGAAGCAGACGCAGAATAAGAAGAGGAAGAGGAAGAAGACAAGGAAGAGGAAGAAGACAAGGAAGAGGAGGAGTGGAGAGGGGGAGGGGGAGAGAAGAGGGAGAGGGAGGGGAGAGGGAGGGGAGGATATTCTGACACATGCTTCAGTATGTTGAACCTTGAAGACATTATGCTGGGTGAAATAAGCCAGTCACAAAAGGACAAATACCATCTGATTCCACTTATATGAAGTTACTGGAGTAGTCAAACCCATAGAGACAAAATAGAATACTGGTTCCCAGTGACTGGCGGGAGGGGAAATGGAGAGTTTTTGTTTAATGGGCATACAGTTTCAGTTTACAAAGATGAAAAATATCTGGAGATGGAGGGTGGCGATTGTTGAACAATGTGAACGTACTTAATGCCACAGAAATGTACGCTTAAATATAGTTTAAATGGGGCCAGGTGCGGTGGCTCACGCCTGTGATCCCCACACTTTGGAAGGCGGAGGAGGGCGAATCACGAGGTCGTCAGATCGAGCGAGACCATCCTGGCCAACACGGTGAAACTCCGTCTCTACTAAAAATACAAAAATTAGCTGGGTGTGGTGGCGCGCGCCTGTGGGCCCAGCTCCTGGGGAGGCTGAGGCAGGAGAATCACTTAAACCCGGGAGGTGGAGGTTGTGTTGAGCCGAGATCGCACCACTGCACCCCAGCCTGGTGACAGAGCGAGACTCTGTCTCAAGAAAAAAATATATATTGTAAATGGCAAATTTTATGACACGTGCATTTTATCAAAAAATTCTAAGAGACTATGAAGGGTAACGTGTATGAAATAAAATGGTTAGAACTCTGCGGTCCTTTCGACGCATTCCAAACCTGGGTTGGGGTGCGGGGTGGGGGGTGGGTCGAGAGATCTCATCCCAGAAAGAATACGGCCACAACCGCAACACCTCCGGCCGGCCCGCGCCAGAAGGTTTCCAGCACCCGGACGCGCTGCGGCAAACCTAGAAGGGACCCAAAAGCAGAAAACCTAGGAGAGTCCCTGCCCGTGGCTCAGCCGGGCTCCAGCGCTGCTCAGCCGGGGAACTGTCTGCCCTCTAGAGGCAGGTCTGGGTAGCAATTTTTTTTTTTTCCGACTTTGAAGTTCTGGGTTATGTGTGCAGATGCTGCAGGTTGGTTACATAGGTACACACCTGCCATGGTGGTGGCGTAGCAATGAAACAGTGTTTCTCTTTCGGCTCCTTTAAGGAGGAAAAGTAAAGTCCAGACGGAGGGTACTAGAAAGGAGACCAGGACCTTCGTCTGCCGCTGAGGAAAGAGGCAAAACGCTCTGGCACGTCTCTGCTCTCTCCTTTCCTTCAGAATGTGATCGTTTGGAGACAGAGGGTATGAAGTGACCTGCTGGCCGCCTTGCCACACCAAGTGCTGTCTTGAAGAACCCACACCTGCCTTACAGACCCTGAGCTCCTCCCTTTCTTGGGCCTTCAAGGATAAAGGGAATTAGGCAAGAGGAATTCGTGGCCACAGACTTGCCACCCCATAGAACAGATGTGTTTCTAAATCTAGCCGACGTTGCATAACGTGGAATTCTTGATCTTCAAATTTGAAAACAAATGGTTTGTCCTAAAATTAGAATGTGGTGGTGGTTGCACCATTCTGTGAATATGCTAAAACTCAATAAACTGTATAACTAGATGAGTGAATTTTATGATGTGTGAATTATACATCAATAAAGCAGTTTAATAAATAAACGGTTGCCCCACCAGATGATTTTTTTTTTCAGAGACAGAGTCTCACTGTCACCCAGGTTGGAGTGCAGAGACACTATCTCGGCTCACTGCAGCCTCAACATCCTGGGCTCAGGCAACCTGCCTGCCTCAGCCTCCCAAGTAGCTTGAACCACAGTCATGGGCCACCACACCTGGCAAACTTTTCTTATTTTCTGTGGAGATGGGGTCTTGCTATGCTGCCCAGGCTGGTCCCGAACTCCTGCACTCAAGTGATCTTCCCGCCTTGGCCTCCCAAAGCTCTGAAATTACAGGTGTGAGCCGCCAAGCACAACCTCCACAAAGTGACTTAAAATTTCTTGATGAAAATCTCATAAGCAGAAAGGACATTTGTTGGGTTGTTTATGTTCTTGACTGCCCAATGCCTATCCCTGTTTGAAATAGCACCTTGCTCTTGCTGCGGAAGCTGAAGGGAGCAGAATCTTCACTTTGGATCCTCCCACAGCACAGGAGGAGCAAGGAGGGTGTGAACTGGACTTGCTCTGAAGCAAGAAGGCAGACCCCAAAGAACAGCTGAGAAGGTGGCACTGACTGGCCAGCTCCTGAGGGCCCTGTAGGCCCTTCCCATCATAGAGGTCCATGGTTCCTGCCCTTTTGCAAACAGATCCTTTAGATTCGCTAAGTCCCAAAGGGCCTTCCAATCAATTCTCTTGTTGAAGACAGCAGGACACCACTGCTGTTGCTTGAGTCCAAGAGCTCTGAACAATATATGGGAGAGAGCTGAGAGGTTCAAAGAAAAGATGAACATTTGTTTATTTGAGATTTTTTTTACCCGTGTGTTTTAACTTTCTGGTAGGTGTCTTGAAGCTGGGCTTATTATGGTCTAGCAAGACTCCTAGGTCAAACTGCTTTCAAGAGTGGATAAGAATGACTTATAAGAAATGCATCAAGGCCAGGCACGGTGGCTCACGCCTGTAATCCCAGCACTTTGGGAGGCTGAGGCAGGTGGATTGCTTGAACCCAGGAGGTGGAGGTTGCAGTGAGCTGAGACTGCACCATTGCACTCCAGGCTGGGCAACAAGAGCAAAACTTGGAGAAAAAAAAACAAACAAGAAAGAAAGAAGAAAAGAAAGAGAAGAAAGAGAGAGAGAGAAAAGAAAGAAAGAAGAAAGAAAAATGCATCAATGGCATATATATAAAGAGAGCTTAAAAGCTCTTCACTGCTCTTAAAAGATTTTAAAATCATTTTTTAAAAATAATATTGTCTCATTCATATATTTGTGTACATAGCATTGCCAAATTCTTGAGAATATCTTCTTAAGTTAAAATAGTGGTAAACCAGCTCAGGTAAATTCCCTTCAAATTATCAAAAACTTTGGAGTTACTAGAATTACAGGAAATGAGATTTATTGTAAAGACAACGTAATGTGTTCTAAGTTTTAGCTCAAGCTTCTTTTTTTGCTCCTACTGGAAAAAAGGTACATGCTTCCTGTTGAATATTGAGAAATACCTATAAACACGCAATCTAGTATTCATTGTTACCACAGCAGGGGTAGCAGTAGCCTGTGAGGATATGAAGGCAAGTGGGGAGGGGGGAGGCGGGGGGGGGGCGGGGGGGGCGATCCCTCTGAGAACGTCATGAGGCGCTCTCAGGCACGCCCTCTGGGAGAGGGTGAGGTCAGGGCTTGCCCGAGGGAAGCTAAGTGCACACACCTGCTTAGCTCTACACCTGCTTGTCCATCCCCACGGAAAAGACACTAAGGAGAGGCTCTTGCCAGAAGAAAAACATTAGAGGAAATTACCTCCAGAAGGAAATTCTAGGAATCCCCAGCGTTTATTCCTTATTGGGAATAGAAGACCAGCTAGCCACCT